CATGCGTGTCAACGAACTCAAAGGCCCATGTTGACTACAATTAGAAATCTTTTAGATTGTACTCGACGATATACATGCATGCAGGAAGTAACACTATGAACATGTCGGACAAAGAAAGAGGACAAAATATACAGTTCCTTATTCTACACCTGTAATGAACCAAATTTAATGCACACGTCTTTGTGAAGTGCCTCACTACAAATTATTTCATTCACCTGATAAGAATAATAGTAATTCAATAGTCAGAATGCAAACTGCATATATCAAGTGTTGCTAGGCAGGTCAAACCATAAAGTTTGTCCAACCTGGCAACAACTAATGTACGCAGTTTGGATTATGTCTATTGAAATACTTCACAAAGACTTATGCATTAAATTTGGTTACATTACGAAAATGGCCTATTGCTGTGGTAGACACTATGAACATGACTGACAAAGAAAGCGGACAAAATATACAGTTCCTCAGGTAGACAAAGGAACATCCCTTCACTGCTATTATGTAAAAATGTGTAGAACAGGTGTCGCATGCATATTCACCTTTTTACATAATAGCAGTGAAGGGATGTTCCTTTGTCTACCTGAGGAACTGTATATTTTGTCCGCTTTCATTGTCTGTCATGTTCATAGTGAGAACATCCCTTCACTGCTATTATGTAAAAATGTGAAGAACAGGTGAATATGCATGTGACACCTGTTCTACACATTTTTACATAATAGCAGTGAAGGGATGTTCATTTGCCTACCTGAGGAACTGTATATTTTATGCGCAAGCGGGATATACTAGTACCGTACTAGATTTAGGAAAATCAAGGTTGACGCATTCTCGATCGCCGACTGAGACGACGTGACGCATGCGCAGTGCCTTAAAATGAAGTCAAAGCTGTTGACGTGCAAATCTAAAAGTCCCTAATAGTACAACGTCGTTAAGCGTGAGACCGTTCACTTCTCTCTCCCCTCCAAGAGAATCAACTGTTTAACGAATTTATCATGAGCAGTGGCGTACGTAGGATTTTTTCGAGGAGGGGGTTTCAAAATTTGAAAGTCGCGCCAAAAATTTCGCAACGACTCAGCAAGCCGCTGAATACGCAGGGGAGGGGGGGGGGAGAGCACATTTCCTTTATTATTTTTTTTGTCCCGAAAATTGGAGGGGGGGGGGGTAAGGTCAGTTTCTTTGGTCACCCTTTAGCAATTTTTCTTTTTTTTTAATTGAAGGGGGGTTTCCTACAAAACACATACATACAAAAAAAAATGAAGGGGGTTCGACTCCCGGACCCCCGCCCCCCCCCCCCCCCCCCAAAAAAAAAAAAAAAAAAAACCCTGCGTACGCGCCTGATCATGAGGCAATGAAAAAATTAATTAATACTGCTTGTCATAGTATTATTGAAGAGCAGCAAAGGCGAACGATTGTCGCTCCAATTCAGAAATCGTTGCTTGGACCGAATAGCACCGCATTTTTGTTTCTTGAACTTATTGGCATGCACCCAGTAGATTTTCATCATGTGTTTGATCTTGTTATTGAAAAAACAAGATCAAACACATCATCATAATCTACAGATTGCAACCAAAAATTTAACAACAATTTAAATTTCTTTCGGGAAGCCTAACAATAAAGGCTGTTTTTATTCAAAGAGCATCGTAGAGACGATGAACAAATAAGAATAATAATACAACGTCGTTGTGTGTGAAACCGTTCACTTCTATTTCTCCCCGCCTTTTTGCCCCCGGAAATGGGAAAATCGCGTCGACCAATATTTCGTTCAGTGAGGAAAGGGGGGGGGGGGGTTAAGGAGCATTCAGTTTTTAATAGTCTGATTTTCAGACCATTGTACCGAATGGTCGTACGTTTTATGCTTCGCAAAGATTCAATCATTTTAATTTTAGCCATTAAAAGAAGTGGGTTATTGATGTAGACAAATGTTCATGTACCCTTTACAGCTCATTTTATGTATGTTATTACTAAAGAAGAAAAAGGGCCAGTCAGTCACTCAATATTGTCTGACAGTGAAGTCTAGCAAGTAAACGGGTTTCCTTGCATGATTTGAATATTAGGACACTGCTAACGTTTAAATTTCACAGATAGGACATACATGACATATTCACAATTCCTGCAAAGTTTTACGGAATTTGATGTTGGCTGCAAAAGGGACATAGTATCTTTAAAGAGGTTGAGATTATGGTTTGAAAGTTTAAAAGCGATTTATTCAAAACTAACTTTCTTTTAATTGCGCGCTCATCCGTCATTTCGTGAAATAGGGACGATATGTGCAGGGCTTGATCCACACTCACTTTTTTCATAAGGGATCTCACTAGATTGACAGAGCACAATTTTTTTTTTTTTTTTTTTTGCTCCCGAAAATTTGAAAAACGCGCCGGGCCCCCCGGCCTCCCCCCTGGATCCGCCACTGTGTACATTTAAACAGGAATAACCAAAATTTGGAAAAGGGCCTGCTGTATGATGTAACAATGAATATATCAGTTTTTATTTTGATGGGGGAGGGGGCGAGGGAGCTATCCCCTTCTGGATCCGCCAATGCCCGAATAAACGTATAGGCGTTTTGATATTTTATGTTACAAACCGTGCATCCTATGGTTAATTCATCCTCAGGGTTAACATTTTTCTCCTAACTTACTTGCTAATGAACCGTTTGAGTAAACTTTACAAAGGCAAATTACAGCTCCTGTCTTTCCTATCCCTTTCACTGCTTAAGTGCATAGAGATACTAAGGCAGTGATAAGCGCTATAAAAGTATTGTATCATTAGTTTTTATTCTGGACTAGGACACATCTCGCCGGAGTACAACTCCATGGTGAAATTTATCTAGGCCAAGAAATATATAAGTTTCAATTGATTGTTACTTTTTCAGTACATACAAAAAGTCATGCAATTGATTTAGAAAATGGGGGTTCTTTTATTTAAATTAGCACATTAAAAAAAAAAATCATGCAAAAAAATTGGTCGAATCCCGCATTCAATGACAATATCATTCACTTTTTATACATCCAAGGGGCGAGAGGGTGTACCTGACATGCTGCGATATAAAATATTCTTGGGTATAAAAGTATCCAGAGGGGTCTATTAAAGTGGCATGTTCCCCGTATTCCAGAGGGCGTTCAAAATACGTACCCGCTGGCGGACGGTGCTAGCTGCCTACTGACACCAACAGAATACGGCTCTTACGCAGATGGCATGTTCCGAATGCCCGTACAATGCCGATTATCGCATACATGTGCCGAAGTAATACCAATCGCAGTTCGGTTCTAAGATTCGGCTGCTGTTTCCGCCCACTTTCGTGACGTCAGGATCGGCAGCGATCAGCTGGCTTGACGAAGGCTGGCCAGGCCGCGCGTACTTTGATTGACAGCTGTATGCAAATTAGAAGTCGATCTTCGGAACCAAGATGGCGATGACTAGAGCAGCGATAACTACAATGGCGGGAACGTGCCCCTTTAAACAACCTGAGGGTGGACTACTCAATCATTCTGGTGCACGGGGCCTAGCAAAACAAAGTATTCATTGCTTGTATATTCATATCATGTTTGGTCCCAAAGCAAAGGAAAATTAATATATCACTGTCTGTGAATGGGAAATTGTCATTTTAGTCCCTGTCGAATGGGGACACTCCTCGAGGTTGGCGGGGGAAGGGTACACAGTGCCCCCCCCCCCTCCCCCCCCCAGACAATTTTGTGTAACCTAAAGTGCCTCTACTGTTAAGTACTCCTTTATTATTCTTATAAGTACCCCTTTCACTTTTTCCCCCCTTTCTCTTAATAAAATGTACTAATATGAAAAAAAATCTAAGAATTTGAGCGGCTAAACAGGTTTCCCAGTTACTTAACCCTATAATGTAAGTCAGTGGAGTAGTGGGTAGGCGAGGAACAATACCCAGACTTTCACAAGCACGAAAAGTGTCCCTTTCTTAAAAATGCTCTTTTTAAATTTTAACTAAAAGTGCCATTTTTCTAGAAAGAGCCTTTTTTATTTAAGAAAAACACCACTTTTAAACTGTATAGAGTACAACGTGTCTTTCCTTTCTGCTAAAAAAGGAAGCATTTCTAAACCTACAAATTTATTATTCCTACCCTCATGCCCTTTTGAAACGTAACAGAGCGACGGTACAAGCTTCGTAATGTACATGCTCTTACTAATATAGGAAGTATAGATAGTATAATGGTATAGACAGCAGGGGCGGCATTTTCTTTTTCTCGGCCAGGGGACGAAATGCGAGGGAACGGGGCAGCAGTGGCGTAATGGGTAGAAACGTTTGGGGGCAGAAGAAATCTTCATCACCCCCACTCTTACATAATACATGCAAAGCCCAGGCGGGGGTCAAGGGACGTTGCACGGTGAAGCTCAGGAATTTAACTTAAGGCATTTAATAGCGAGCCCTTGGTGGGGTCCAGGGGGCAGAGCCCCCCGAAGCTCATGGGAAAATTCCATTTTAGCATCATTTGTAAATCACTAGTATCGAATTAAAAATGTACCACGTTTGAATTTTATTAGGGGGGCAACTGCCCCCAAGCCCCCTCCCCACCATTACGCCAGTGCGAAGGAGCATAGTGAACGAGAGGGGTGAAGGTGGCATAAGTGACTACCCGCTCACAGGTTTTTGAAGTTTTTTTTATATCAATAAATTACATTCCTAAGCAAAACTATAGTATAAAAACAAACAATATACCTTTTTCACACTTCAATTTTTTACAACATTTACATAACTTTCTTACTTTTTGTCCGATTTAATTAGATTTCCACATGTCTTTTCTGAATATTCTGCTTTCGTTTAGAGTAATTGACTGTTAAGGTTGTATTTCCCTTTAAATGTAATCAGGTAATTGTGTGTACGTAGAATCGTAGATAGTATACATTTGTAAATAGGTTCTTTTAAAGAATAGCCTATAGAGCTGCCTAGTTAAAGTTGTAGCTTAGAATTGGTTATTGTTATACTATGATGAATGTAATTGAACAGTTATCAAAATGAATTTAATATGTTATTAACAACATACCATGACATGCTTGCGGTAAAGCTCCGATTTCCTGTTCTATTTCTCTCGTTCCTGTCCTGTACTGTGCAACGACCTTGGCTAGCCCCACCATCTGCGTCTTAGAGCTGGATTGGTTGTAATATGCAGTATCAAACTGACCACCTTGAACAAATAAACAGAAGGGATAACGTAAGGATAACAGGCATTGTCGAAGAGGGAAGAGAGGAAGAATCTGAGGAGAAGCTTGCAAAAAAAATTGTGAAGTGGCGATCGATGCAGGTAGGGGAAAGCGGTCGATATTTCATCTTGCCATCGCCTTGGGAAGAGATCCGAAGACAAAACTCGTCAAACTTTTGTTCTTCAGGGCGTGTTTATGCTTAACTTTTTCTGGCCAGAATCAGGCATCTGTTACGTGTTTAGTTTAAAACACGGTTGCGTCCATGCTCACTTTTGTAGAATCACCGAAAAACGGCGATCACGATCGCCGATCGTAAACTCACAAAAAGATGCGTTTACAATTTGCAAACGCGTTTAAATGGGGTCAACGCACTGACCTCTAGTGGGTCTACGTAGCATGCACAGTGCAGGTTGCGAATCCAGCTGCAAGGCCAATTAAGGCCACACAGGGAGAATTGCCTGGAGGAGCCAGAGAAGTGAGCATAAACAGTACACCGTGGAACTGCGATTACAATGAGCGTTTACGATGTGCGTTTCAGATCGCTCATTCTACCTTCAAAATCAAGCATAAACGCAGCCTGAGCAACAGGAGGAAGCGAGATCGCTTTTACGATGCCCACTTCACACTGAAAGGAAAAGATGGATGTGAGGGAGTCTACATCAATGAGGATCTCACTCCGATGCGTTATGCAGTCCTGAGGGCAGCAAAAAATGTCTTCGTCTGTGACACGTGTTTCTACGAAGAACGGAAATATAGTATGCAAGAAAAAAGACGATGAATACGACACTATTGCTTCACCTGATGACCTCTTTGATATTGGCTTCAACGATATTAATTACAAGGACTTCAAACTGCATTTCATGGAATAAAGCATTTTTAACCACCCCATGTGGGCACACTTGACTTATCAAATTCAAGGGCAGTATCAAAAGTAGTAGGAGTCAATTATTTGTGAGAGTAATGCGTATCGTTCATTTTAAGCATCCTTAAAATGAACGATACGCATTACTCTCATAAACCTTTTCAGATGTTAACAAAAAAGAAATATAAATATTCGATAACATTATAACAATAAAAGTGGTCAAATTCTGAACTGACGTCACATTGAAGGAGTAAATATTATTGGCTCAAAAAGTATCATCGTTGAGGCGGTTCCTAAAAAACAGGGGCGAGGCAAATATATAATGACTTAATCAACAATCAATAATATTATTTCATCCCCATATTTCGAAGAATGCAAATTGCACCATAAAACACGTTGTCAGGTAGGGCAAGCCATAAAATGTGCATTTTGTCTTACGTGGCAAGTTGGCAACAACTACTTCTATGACTACTAGGACACATTACAGCAGATGAGTGTAACCATGTTTGTAATACTTGCAATGTTGCCATGTCCCAGCACAAGTATTACGTGGCAACAACTACTTTTATGACTACTGAGACACATTACAGCAGATGAGTGTAACCATGTTTGTAATACTTGCATTGTTGCCATGTCCCAGCACAAGTGGCAACAACTACTTTTATGACTGCTGAGACACATTACAGCAGATGAGTGTAACCATGTTTGTAATACTTGCATTGTTGCCATGTCCCAGCACAAGTATTACGTGGCAACAACTACTTTTATGACTACTGAGACACATTACAGCAGATGAATGTAACCATGTTTGTAATACTTGCAATGTTGCCATGTCCCAGCACAAGTATTACGTGGCAACAACTACTTTTATGACTACTGAGACACATTACAGCAGATGAGTGTAACCATGTTTGTAATACTTGCAATGTTGCCATGTCCCAGCATAAGTATTACGTGGCAACAACTACTTCTATGACTACTAGGACACATTACAGCAGATGAGTGTAACCATGTTTGTAATACTTGCAATGTTGCCATGTCCCAGCACAAGTATTACGTGGCAACAACTACTTTTATGACTACTGAGACACATTACAGCAGATGAGTGTAACCATGTTTGTAATACTTGCATTGTTGCCATGTCCCAGCACAAGTGGCAACAACTACTTTTATGACTGCTGAGACACATTACAGCAGATGAGTGTAACCATGTTTGTAATACTTGCATTGTTGCCATGTCCCAGCACAAGTATTACGTGGCAACAACTACTTTTATGACTACTGAGACCCATTACAGCAGATGAGTGTAACCATGTTTGTAATACTTGCAATGTTGCCATGTCCCAGCATAAGTATTACGTGGCAACAACTACTTTTATGACTACTGAGACACATTACAGCAGATGAGTGTAACCATGTTTGTAATACTTGCAATGTTGCCATGTCCCAGCATAAGTATTACGTGGCAACAACTACTTTTATGACTACTGAGACACATTACAGCAGATGAGTGTAACCATGTTTGTAATACTTGCAATGTTGCCATGTCCCAGCACAAGTATTACGTGACAACAACTACTTTTATGACTACTGAGACACATTACAGCAGATGAATGTAACCATGTTTGTTATACTTGCAGTGATGCCAAGTCCAATCAGTATGAAAGCACAAAACGGCATGTGAGAAATTACCAAAATTACCCTAAAATCAACAAGTTCAAAGAATGACCTATATTAATGCCTATTGTGGCCTCCCCTTTACCAAAGAGTATTAGCGAAGATCGGTCAGTCCCGAAATAAAATAAGCGAGCATATTGTAGGACAGAAATCATGGCTACAATTCTCTATATCAAGATTTTAAAGATATCAATGCATGCTCCCTTCGTCTAGGAATAGACCAAAGAGTATTAGCGAAACATATTAGCATAGGGACATGCTATCCTGTAATGTGTTATGCGCTATAAAAGAACTGAGTATTATTATCATTATTAATAATAAGACCTACCTGTTGAGCTGCCACTATTCCAAAATTGCAAAAGGGCGAGATAAATTACAGTACTAGCACCGATGAGTACATAAACACCAGTTATGGTTATTTTTGATTTCAAGAACTTGCCGCCACCTGGTCCAGTGGATTCGACTCCTGGAGTCGGCATCTTGATTTAATCTCTCGTTTCTTCCTCTCCGGTTACTTACAAATATATATCTATCTAGCAATCATTAGTGACTGAATGAGCTGAACCAGCGAATTGAAAATCACTTCATTACAATAGGCCGCACGCCCAGCCCATTTTAATATTTTGCATTGTGAATACCGGTTACACGGTTAAATGGTTTATCATCATCAACTTCAGGTGGCGCTGTAAAGCGCTGCTGTGGTCTTCACGAGAGCACGCCATGCAACTCTTTCACCTGCCATTTGTGTTGCACCTGTTATTCCTTGTCCTGACACTTTCTTGATATCATCAGTCCAAGATATTGGGGGACGACCTCTACTCCATTTTCCTTCGACTGCTCCGTCCAGTATTTGCTTCTCAACACCTTCAGATCTCCTAACAATGTGCCCAAAACAGTTTAGTTTTTTTCTCCATGATTCCCCTTCTGATGGTCAAGTCTGTTCCAATCTTTTCCAGGACCCACACATTTGTCTTTTTATCTTTCCATGACACCTGCAACAGCCTCCTGTAGCACCACATTTCAAAGGCATCAACTCTCTTTCTGTCATTCTTTTTCATGGCCCAGGACTCACTTCCATAAGTCGTAATAGAGAAGGAAGTAATTGCTTGAAGCAGACGAACCTTCAGACTGAGAGAGAGGCCTTGGCTCTTCTAGATGTGAGACATATTCTGTACTGTTGATCTCGCCATTGCCATCCTTCTTCTTATCTCTACGGTGCTCTCTCCTTTGTTAGTGATAAGTAAACCCACGTACTCAAACCGATTTACTACTTCCATTTTATTTCAATCTACGGTGAAGTCAGTGTTATTATTATCTCTATCGACAGCCATACTTTTTGTCTTTTTGGTGTTTAGAAGAAGGTCTTTCTCTTCATTTGCCTCTTTAATGTGATTCAACAAATAAATCAGCTCTTCTCTGCTGCTGCAAATGAGGGTAGTGTCGTCAGCATACTTTAGGCTCGTGATCTTTTTTACCTCCAAACTTAACTCCCCCATTGAATCCTTCCAGAGCATTTCTCATAATGTCCTCAGAATAAATATTTAAAAGGTTAGGAGACAGTATGCAGCCTTGACGTACTCCCCTGCCAATTCCAAACCACTCAGTATTGCCGTTACTGGTTCTCACTGTTGCTTCTTGGTCATGATAGAGGTTTTTGATCAGTTCGATGATGTGACTTGGGAACCCCATCTTTGCCATTTTATTCCATAATTATTGAGAGTAGCTCACACAGTCAAATGCTTTGCTATATTCTATAAAGCACAAATAGAGGGGATTTCTGTGTTCTCTGCATTTCTCTATAATGTTGACAATCTGTTCTCTTGTCCCTCTACCTTCACGGAACCCTGCTTGCTCATCTGAGATCTCGGCTGGCAGTTTGATTTTCATTCTTCTGCTAATCATCTTCAGAAGAACTTTGCTTGCATGACAAATCAAGCTGATCGTTAGGTGATTTGCACATTCTTTCAGATCTCCCTTCTTTGGCAATGGTATAAAAATAGCTCTACACCAGTCCTTATGCCACTCCCTACTATTCCAGATATTGCAACAGAGACGCCAAATCAGGTCGGTACCTTCTTCACCTGTAGCCTTCCACATCTCAGAAGTCAAGTTGTCAAAGCCAGGGAACTTGCCATCCTTCAGTTGTTTCATTGCAAGCTCCACTTCTGATCTTAACGGAGGGGGTTTCATTTCATCACTTTCCTCCCACTGAGTGTCCAACTTGTCCCTCTGCGGCAAACAGCTTGGTACTACACTGCATCCATCTTCCCTTAATGTCTTCATTCTCCGTCAGTGTTTTGCCATTTTCATCATTAATTACATCCAGTCTTGGGATTCTTTTCTTTGTGATTTCTTTCACAATTGCAAATGCGGCCTTGGAGTTGTTCTTGTGACGCTCTAGGTCTTTACACTTCCCCTCGGTGTAATTCCTTTTGTCCTCCTCCACACTATACTTGTAACCGCCTTATTGAGTCTCGTCCATTCTCCTCTATTGTATTTTGCTTTTGCCCTCTTCCTGTCATCAGCGAAAGTCTGATTTGAGATCCATGGTTGTTTCCGCTTCCTTTTCTTTGGGATGTGATTCTTTGCTGCATTTTCAACTGTTTCTTTTATGTATTCCCACAGCGCATTTGGTGTTTACTCTGCTTCATCGTTTCTCAACATCAGCTCGAACTTGTTGTCGATCCGGGAGGATCGGGGGATATATCCCCCACCCCAATATTTCAGGTGGGGGGGGGTGGCCTGTACAATCCTCCCCCCCCCCCAATAATTCACCATAAAAAAATGAAGAAAAATATTAATGATGAGAGGCCCATGAGAGTAGTTAATGGTTATTACTCGCAAGATGACCATCAATATACAAATTTTGCTATCTCATTTTTATAATACATACTGTACATATATAAATAGAAAACAAAGTAAATGAGACAACCGTATATGAGACGAGAATAAATTGAATTCTTGCATTGTAAACAGTGTAAACATAGATGACCTCTATGACGAATTCGTGATGAGATCGGAGACAAGGAGAAAGACTTTCGGACATTAGTATGACTTATAAGATAGTTCACTAGTTGATATGTTATTTCCGTTCACCCTTTTTAAAATTCACGTCATTGTGTCTTTATTTTTAATTTTTTATTCTTTTTTTTCCTGATATTTCCTTAATTTTTTTTTCAAAACGCTCTAAAAGTTGCAGTCGTGTATTTGTTTAACTCTTTTAATTTGGGCATTCTTGCCAAGAAAAAAATTATCAACCAATTCCTCAATATTACTCTTAATGGTAAAGGAAAGCATCTGACCAAGAATATCACATGACTTTTGGCAAGTTAAATCTGAATTAATTTTTAAAGCTACACTGTCGCTCATATAGTTGGAATATTTTTGTTTTACCCCAATTTTTATGGAATTATTTTAAAAATAATTTAAAAATAATAGATTTAGATAATGGTATACATTCTCAGATTTTATTGAATAATAATTTTACAATGTGTGTTTTGCATGACTGCTATAAAAGCATGTGTATGCTACTATGCTTAACAACTAGGGGACCTACGCCCTTAAGTCATAAATGACAGTAAACTAGCACATCGACACGGTTTTGATCATGGGGCCCTCATAGTTACGAGGCCATTGCTTTGTCACTGAACCATGACTGTACGCAGCAGGGGCTAGGGTAAACAAATCCTCTGTGTGCCCATGCCTTGAGCCATAATGCATGGCCGTCCAGAGGATTTGTTTATGTTGGGGACCGGGGTAAATGCAATAAATAATTGAAAATTTATTGCATTTTCAGTTTTTTTTTTTTTTAATTTATGGAAACTGCCCCCTACCCTAGCCCCCGCTGCGTACAGTCATGTTTCAGTGACAAAGCAATGGCCTCGTAACTCGGAACAAGCTGATATCCCTCATCATTGGATTTTGTTTTGGTAATGTCTAAATTTCGTTTAAAAATAGATGATATCAGTCTAGTAGGCCTACACTGCAGACAAGAGTCAGGACTAACATTTAACATGTTATTAATTTTATTACCACTCTTATATTCTCTGAAATGTTATCTTTATTGAGGGTGACTTGAAAAAGTTGATAACTTGGAAGGGAGGGGGTGCAACCTGCCACACGCTTCTACCTCTTGGTTGCTTTGATCCATTGCCGAAAATATTTTGCCACCTATCACCCCCCCCCCCCCCAACCACGGATACAAATTGACACCCATGATCATACCATGTGGGAGCTGAATCACATTTTTTAGCTTTCAGTCTTAGTGTGTACATGGTTACACACTTTAATTTTCAGATTGTCAGCAGGAGTTTATTGTCATCTTTTAGGCTGCTTCTATCCTCATAGTAATCATTACTTCATGATTCGGTTAAAGTAATGTATTTTGTGTTAGTTATTTTCATCTAGATTTCACAGTGTTAGCAGGAGTGTCAGAGTTTTTTTTCCGACAGTCATTATTGCTGAAATTATTTTAAAAATTTAGAGGGCGCTGCACGGCGGCGACCACTGTGGGTGTTTTTGTGTGTCATTTTGGACGTTAATTTTGTAATTTTGCAAGTTTGCTTTGTTCTTCTGAATAATAATAATAATGTTCAATTCTTATATAGCGCATATTACAAAATTGTCTCTATGCGCTTAGATACGAGAGAGAGAGAGAGAGAGAGAGAGAGAGAGAGAGAGAAGAGAGAAAAGACATGAAGACTATTGAGCTTTTACCGTTTAGCAATTACAATTATCAAATCAATTACAAAATTCACATGTTTACTACATAAATTGAAGTCTGAAGTTAAGCATCATGTCTAGCATAATGTCAGGAACGACCAGCATCATGTGCATATGAATGTGAATATAAATATCTTGGTACCTTGATTGATGATAAGCTACGATTTAATAAGAACACCAACGCTGTACGCAGTAAAGCTAATCAACGGATGTTTTTTTCTAAGGAAGCTCAACAAATTTAATATAGACAGGACGATCTTGCATCTTTTCTATCAGTCTATCATTCAAAGTGTTCTTCTATTCAATCTCATTTGTTTTTATGAAAATCTCATACAAGCCGACAACACTAAACTCGAACGTCCTAGGAAAATTGCTCAACGCCTTATCGGCATTGAATTACCACCCCTATCAGTTTTGTTTGAAGATCGCTTATTGACTAAAATAACTTCTATTATGAAAGACCCATCACATCCACTATTTTGTTGTTTTACTTTTAACCGCTCAGGAATCCGCCTGCGTGTACCAATTACCCGTAGAGCAAGATACAGAAATTATTTTATTCCAAATTCCATGCATCTATAATGCACAAATAACGCGAAGTTCTCAGCTGTATTAAAGCGAAATAATAGCGATAATAGCGATTATGAGTATTTGTTAACTTTTTCTCTACCCACCCAGTAAAATAAATTTGTAGGGATTGGGTTGGAAACTTTCCACCTTATCACCATTGTGGGTCAAAAACATCCGTTGTTTAGCTCTGCTGCTGATTTTTGTCCTACACTAATATGGCCATGTATTTTCTGTCATGTATTATAATCTGATTGGAAATTATGCCATCTCTCCTTCTCTTTCTCTCCCCTTTCATTTTGGACCCTTACCAACTCTCCC